GATAATATGGAATATGGGGGAAATTGTTGTTTTTCCAGCGTTTTGAACAGTCGCGCATACAATCGCATTCCATGAAATTTTGATACTTTTGACCCGTGGAGGCTATGAAAATTCTCGATTGTTGTCTTAGTCGTGCGCGATAGAATGTGATGCCTTGTGGTTATGTGGAATGGAATTTGCAGCCTCGAGTTGATCAAAAATGATATTAACATATGCCTGAGAAGCCCACATGCAGGAACGGCAACGCATACGGGGGGGGCATCGTACTCCAGGGGTGGCATCCTACTCAACGTAACTGTATTAAGTGGAAATATGGTACCATTTGGGTTCGAGGAAGAACAGCGTAATCCAGACTTGGCCCCGTTTACAGATGCGGAAGCTGAGCCGCCAGCGCAAACGCGTCAAAAAATAAGCTGAACAGCTTATCCAATGGTTTTAAAAGATCCTAGAGAGAAGCTGATGATTGATGAGAGAAACAAGACTTTATGATTATGTTTATTCAAGAAATCATTGCTTGAGAAGGTTCTCAGCGGGGTTAAACGTGTGCGACTGGACATGACAGCACGTGACAAGGGAGCGCCTGACAAGGGTCACACAACCTTATTCTCATCATCAAAGGTCGTTCATTATTTTCCAAATTTCCGGAGCTATTTGGGCATGGAATATGAACAGCCTTGGAATATGGGTAAGATTTTGCTAGAACAGTATATTTATATAATCCCTAAAAAAAATCAACCGACAGGGTTTGGAACATTTGATCCCCTTAAATTCTATTGAGCCACCATTCAAGACCACTAAACCACCATTTCAACACCACTCAATCACCATTCAACACCACTCAATCTCCCTTTCAATCAACACCACTCAATCACCATTTCAACACCACTAAATCACCATTCAGCACCACTAAGTCACCATTTCAACAGCACTCAATCACCATTCATCACCACTCAATGATCATTTCAACACCACTAAAACACAATTCAACACAACGAAATCACCATTTCAACACCACTAAATCACCATTCAATGCAACACCACTAAATATACTAAATCACCATTCAACACCACTCAATCACAATTTCAACACCACTAAATCACTATTTCAACACTAAATCACCATTCAAGACCACTAAATCATCATTCAACACCACTAAATCACCATTTCAACACCACTAAATCAACATTTCAACACCACTCAATCACCATTTCAACACCACTCAATCACCACTCAACACCGCTCAATCACCATTTCAACACCACTCAATCACCATTCAACACCACTCAATCACCATTCAACACCACTCACTCACCATTTCAACACCACTCAATCACCATTAAACCATGAAACACCAATCGGGGTACCCCTCCCACTGCTCGACTGCTGCACTCAATCCCGACGGCTCTCGCCAAGTATCCATCCACTACCTCGACCTTGCTAAGGCGAGTCTTCGGAATGGCTAAGTTGGTGAACACTCCATTATGGTTATTCATAATGGTTTATATATGGTTTATGATATTATATCTAACTATGATAGTGAATAACACTCCATTATATATAACTATAGTTATGAATATCCAAGTTCACTATGGTTTATGGTATTCATAACTTTAGTTATATTTTCCATAAACCCTAGTTATTGGACTTTACGATAAACCAACTTAGCAAACTAGGGCGCCCCATGTATGATATTCATAACTATAGCGAATCGGGTAACCACTAACCACTATACTAATAAATGATTTCGAAAAAGCCACGATGAACATGACAACAGACTATAAGAAAAAAAGGCGATGATATTGATGACATGAACATGATAATTAGAAAATACATATCATCTTCATGTCATCATTTATACCAAATCAAACAAGTAATCAACCAGTAACATCTTCAGATCATCTTCACGTGATTCATGTCACCATTACCACAACTTTCACAATACAATAACTTAATAACTTATGACAAAACTCTACTAAAGCATGGTTTCTGGGGGGTTCCAAAAAAAATGGCCATGGGGATAAAACGGATTCAGAGCCCTGTCTCGGCCCCTCAGCCCTGTCTCCTGGCAGGGTCCATGCCACGGTCAGCATCTATCTGAAGTGTCATTGTAATAGTGTGTATGTGTATATAAATATATAATTAAAATATTATATAGATATATATATAGAGAGGAAGAATATATAGTATACAGACACATACATAATTCGAACTGAGAGAGAGATATATTTATTTATTTAAATGTAATATATATATATATGTAATATATATAGATATATGTATATATATATATAATTATATATTTATATGTTCCAGGTTCGGGGACCCCCCCCTCCCCATTTTCCCTCCCCCTGTTTGTCATTTTGGTATTTCCTGTAGGTAGTTTCCCCCCCACGGTCATGGTTCCCCCCCTCCCCCCTGTGGATGTGGTCCTGTAAGAAGTATAGGTAGCCATGGTTGAATATATGTATATATGTATATATGTAAATATGTAAGTATGTATATATGTATATATGTATATATGTATAAATGTATTAATGTATCTAGTATACATGTATATATGTATATATGTATAATTTCTATATGTATATTTTTATATGTATATATGTATATATGTATATATGTATATGTGTATATATGTATATATGTATACATGTATACATGTATACATGTATATATGTATATATGTATATATGTATATATGTATATATGTATATATGTGTGTGTATATGTATAAAGAGGTAATATAACTATACTCTTTAGTTCCTATATAAGTAGGTTTTGCATCCAAATGCTGTACATACCATTGAAATATGAGGTTCTCCATCCAAACCGGTGCAAATACCATGGAAATACGAGGTTTTGCATCCAAAATGCTGTAAGCACAATGGAAATGAAAGATTCTAGGTCAGGGAGTAGGGGACCATAACATTGGGGGGGGAGCTACGGGACCGGGGACCAGGATCATATATAGAGATACACATAAATAAATCGAATCTTGTAACAGTTCATTTCATCTGAAAAGGTTGGTGGTCTTTGGGCTGCTCCAGATGTCAAGGCACAATCTTCTTGCAGGTCTGGCTGAGGAACCACCTGGCAGGTAACGCCATGGAACCACCGCGACCAATGGAATGTCTTGTCTAACGGAAAGAACATCTGCACCTGCTATATATGTACAAGTGATATATATATATATATAATGTGTATATATATATATATATGTATACACTCACACACCTCTTGAAGTGACTAGTGTATGTATATATATATAGATATATTTACATGTATATATATATATATACACGTATATACACCCGTGATTTGCGTTATTCTGGGTTTGTCTGAAAATAACATACCCATGAATACCCAAAATTTGATGGTTTATCGGCATGTAACCCACGTGAAAAATGGCCATTTGGAGGGCATATCCCAATTTCAAACGCACCCACTCCGCAGAGCAACTCGGAAGTTTTCAAAGTAAACTTCCTTTGGCCACGAATTCCCATATTATCCCATATATCCCAAAATATTCCATATTGTATCCCATCAAATTCCTTCTTATGACCAGGATTTCCCATACTATCCAACTTTCACTGACTGAATGCGAAAAAAATAAATAAGGTGCGTATCGCCTCCAACAACCGGTGATCTTCAGCCTTTGCTTCGATGTCTATTGCGAGACAGTCATAGAAGCTAAAAGCTAAGCACAACTGACGCAGACATTACGTGATAAAAGGCCACCACTAGGAGCACTAAAGCTTTGAAGGCTCGATGGCAAGGTCACCAGCTGCAGGCTTTGGCTGAAATTCTCGCCAAAAGTCAAACTTTGAAGACTCGATGGCAAGGTCACACGCTCCAGGCTTTTGTTCAAATACTTGTCAAAAGTCAGGCTTGCAAGGCTGCAGGGGAGACGGGTAAATATTCTCCGTGTGTTGCTCCTTCAAGATGTGTAACACCTTCTAAGGCAAACTCTCTGTCACAGTTTGGGAGCTCATCACAGGCATAACGCCATGCTGTGTACACATCAGTTGGTATGTAAGTGCAGGACAGCGGTGAGCGGCCAGCGGTTTTTCCAACGATCCCTTGGTCTCAAGTTTATCCAGCATCAACTTTCCATTCACATGATGCACAACAAGCCTCGCACCTAGCTTGCATGAAAGCTTCTTTGACAACAGCCTGCACAAGTCATACCCAAGCATGGAGCGACTGACGCTCAGTGTCACTCCTTCTCCAGTCAAGCACACCACCTGAAGTTGCACCTCATCAGTTTCATCTGCTGCACCTTTGTCAGCAAATGATGGATCCACGTAGCCACATTGTGCGCTGGACATTGTTCGAATTTTACATACGCACCATGGCGAGTGTAGCCGAAAGGTCTTCAACGCTGAAATCTAAAATAGACCTGATACTTTTGGCCACCAAGTGCCACAAAACGTACTGTACTCCTGCCATTTTTTTGAGGGCTTCACGTTTGTTTTCAGGGCCGCTGGATGTGACGAAATCCATTTCGGGCCTGCCTTAGTCCATTCGCAAATTGTAGAGAAAGGCTACTGCAGTCCATGAATGGGGCACCCCAAAATCGATACATTCCAATATTACTCTCTGGTAAACTAACATAGCTATGGAAAACTAGCCTTTTAACAGCTAAATCATCTATAAATGGCTCATTTTCCATAGCTATGTCAGATTACCAGAGGGTATCCCATAAATTCCCATATCATCTCATGATTTCCCTTAAAATAATCAGATAAAATCCCACAAATTCCCATATTATCCTGTAAATAATTCCCATGTTATCCCACAATTTCCGACATGATCCCCTAATTTCCCACATCCAGTTGTCAGGGGATTAAGCCTATCAGAACAAAGAGGATAATATGTATATAATATATGTATTAATATGTATATATGTATATATATATACCCTCTAGTCATAATGGGAAATCCAACATTTATGGGTGATCTCATGAAAAAAACTCCATTTAGTTCGGGGACGCCCCATCTAATCCCATTCATGTTGAACTAACATGTTCCAGGTTGAAAACTCATCCCCAGCCAGTTCTAGTTCGAACCCGAGCCCAGTGCCACGTCTCCCTTCCGAACTCGGATGTCTTTCCAGCCATTCGTGCAGAACGCGTCGCTTGCGACTCAGGGGGGACACATCTTTCAGGAAGTGTTCCTGGTGGTCCCGTCGCTGCAAAAATCCCATGGTGTGGATTCATCTACCACAACAAGTTCCACCAAAAAATATCACGTCCCCAAATAGATGGTTAGGAAAATAGGTCACCGGGTTCCAATTACATGGTTGATGGCTAGAAAAATGGCTATATTTGTGGCTGTTGGTGGTTTTCACAAAGCCTGATTGCGGCATCAATAGATCTCCGTTGCGAGATCCAGATACCATCGCGTTGGGATCACAGGGCATATAGGGAAACTGAGTGATCTACGGGATATGTACGGATATGTATATATATATATATATGTATACATATGTTATGTATAAATATATATATATGTGTTATATATATAAATATTATATTGTATCATATGTATATTTATATATATATTATATTAAATAAATAAATAAATATATAGATATATATTGTACATATATATATAACATATATTGTGTATGTGTATATATATGTTACATATATATGCATTGGTTTACCGGAGGATAGTATCCTGCCGTAAAATAACATAGATATGGACATTCCACCATTTGTTGATCATTTCCTGGAGGATTCTTGGCACCTGGGATCTTGTTCCCACTTGCGCAATCCAAGAGGCCAAGATCTCTTTCTCTCCAATTCCTTTGTTGCAGCTTGAGACTACCGATGGGCTACCAGGGAGATGACCATCCCATGAACCATGACTGGAGGACATCGACATCGACCATTTCTACAGAACCATCCCATTTCTATAAACATATCCCCCATAGGGAAAAAGATGGAAAATAAACTTATCCACCATTTTACACCATAGCCTTTTTGTCATAAAACCTCTACAAGGGGGATATTTTCACGTTTTTCTCAGATCAGCCTCTGGGGATCGTTGGACGATTGGACCTCATTTGGACAAATGTCCACACGCAAGCAACAACAATGTTAGCAATCTCACAATAGAATAAATGACTATAAATTACGAGTACAGTGTGGTCTCATACCCTGGGTTTCCCCAGCAGTGAAAGTTCATCTTTCGCCCGAATCCCACCTTTGGAAATTCCCTGCAATATGCATTTGTCTGAAAGTATAGGGTATCCTACAGTCCCGAGTTTAATTGTCATCTTTAATCATTTCATGGATCAATCGAAGATTTCCCGACAAGCCCACATATAATTAATATTAGTTGTTACAATAACCAGTTATATACACCCAATATAGTCATACATGTTTTGCTGGCTAACTGTAGATATGTATGTATGTATGTATGTATGTAATTGTATGTAATTGTATGTAATTGTATGTCATTGTATGTAATTGTATGTAAATGTATGTAATTGTATGTAATTGTATGTAATTGTATGTAATTGTATGTAATTGTATGTAATTGTATGTAATTGTATGTAATTGTATGTAATTGTATGTAATTGTATGTAATTGTATGTAATTGTATGTAATTGTATGTAATTGTATGTATTGTAATGTATGTATGTATTGTATGTAATTGTATGTAATTGTATGTAATTGTATGTAATTGTATGTAATTGTATGTAATTGTATGTAAATGTAATGTAATTGTATGTAATTGTATGTAAATTGCTTGTAATTGTATGTAATTGTATGTAATTGTATGTAATTGTATGCAATTGTATGTAATTGTATGTCATTGTATGTAATTGTATGTAATTGTATGTATGTATGTAATTGTATGTAATTGTATGTAATTGTATGTAATTGTATGTAATTGTATGCAATTGTATGTAGTTGTCTGTAGTTGTATGTAGTTGTATGTAGTTGTATGTAGTTGTATGTAGTTGTATGTATGTATGTATGCATGCATGCATGTATGTATGTATGTATGTAATTGTATGTAATGTGTATGTAATTGTATGTATGTATGTATGTATGTATGTATGTATGTATGTATTGTATGTAATTGTATGTAATTGTATGTAATTGTATGTAATTGTATGTAATTGTATGTAATATGTATGTATGTATTTGTATTTGTATTGTATGTAGTTGAATGTAGTTGTATATGTGTATGTATGCATGCATGCATGTATGTATGTATGTATGTATGTAATTGTATGTAATTGTATGTAATTGTATGTATGTATGTATGTATGTATTGTATGTAATTGTATGTAATTGTATGTAATTGTATGTATGTATGTATGTAATTGTATGTAATTGTATGTAATTGTATGTAATTGTATGTAATTGTATGAAATTGTATGTAATTGTATGAAATTGTATGTAATTGTATGTAATTGTATGTAATTGTATGTAATTGTATGTAATTGTATGTAGTATGTAATTGCATGTATGTATGTATGTATGTAATTTTATGTATGTATGTAATTGTATGAATGTATGTAATTGTATGAATGTATGTATGCATGTATGTATGTATGTATGTAATTGTATGTAATTGTATGTAATTGTATGTATGTATGTATGCATGTATGTATGTATGCATGTATGCATGTATGTATGTATGCATGTATGTATGTATCCATGTATGTATGTACGTACGTACGTATGTATGTATCTATGTATGTATGTATGCATGTATGTATGAACGTAAGAATGTATGAATGTATGGATGTATGAATGTATGAATGTATGTATGTCTGTCCCCATATGGGATTTTCCCAAGCATTTATCCTCAATGCAAGAAATGTAATATAGCATTATGATGCATTATGGGGTCATGTTGGCCACACCGCCCTACTTCCGTTCTTCCACCATCAACGTTGCAAGATGTATTATTTGCATACACCCAACAACTATTATCTCATGAATTCTGAAATCCCACCAGATGATACCAGATTTGTGTTATAATAAATACTCAAAAATTTATTGATACCAGATACCAGTTATAAGTACTGAACTAACCCCGGTTTATAGAATGTATAATTCCATAGAAATAACCAGTTACATACCGCAATTATACAAATTCCCCGTCGGTTGAATCCCTTGAATCCCGAGTTTTCTTCGGCCGATCTTTGCGATCAAAACCCCCCACTATATCGCGAAAAAGTACATCAGTTATGGCCATTTATTAGTTATAACTGGTGATAAATTGATGGGATTATACATTCTATAAATGGGGTTAGTTCAGTACTTATAACTGGTATTTCGGGCCATAACTGTGCTTTTAGCTTTAAGCTATCCTTTGACAATCAGACATAGTTCGATGATTGCCTCCACAGCTTCGGGAACTTCCCAGCTAGCCGCTAGTAGCTGATGACACCGGTGCTATCCCATGATATTCCCATTGTATCCAAGTTCTACCACCTGTTTGATGGTTAAATCCACATCTTTGATGGTTACATCACCATATTTGATGGTTAAATCACCAGTTTTTGATTGGTTAAATCCACGGTTTTCAGGCTTAAATCACACTTGTTGATTGTTAAATCACACTTGCTGATGTTTAAATCAACATGTTCGATGGTTAAATCGTCATTCTTAATGGTTAAATCCACATTTTTGATGGTCAAATCCACAAATGTTCATCATTGTTCATCCTTAAATCATCATATTTTGAGGCTTCAATAATGTTAAGATCCTGATTTTTCACGGTAAAATCACCCCATCAATCCAAGTTTCTGAGTCCCAGGCTATCTTTTGTCTCACCAGCTTTACAACTCCGCCAGCGTCGACGGTCCTCGGAGGCCTGGGGAGGTTGGGACGTTGACGGACGGATGAAACAACGTTCAGAAATGGGTTCATTTGACCATCAACGATGGTGGTTTACCCGTTTAACCGAATGAAATTCCTCATCAACAATTGGGATTGAACCACCATATCCCAGCAATGAGGTCATATCCTAACAATGAGGTTATATCGTAGCAATCCTAGCAATCAGCAACAATTGGTGCTTGAAGCTTCAAAAATGGTGAGAACGAAGCTTCACAAACGGAGATTTAACCATACAGAAATGATAACATCAAAGATGGCAAAGCATCATTTTAATCATCGGCAATTTGGGGATAATTACCCCAACCCACTCACATCAGATTCGCCATATGGCTTGGTCAGTCTGGAAATAGGCTACCCCATTCCATCCGGTGAATCATCGCTTTTCCATTAGCGAGTGGAGGTCCCAATGTTCAGATAAACCCAGCCCATCCAATCCTATTAAACTCCATTAAAGCCCATTAAATTAACTTAATTGAATTGGAAACAAAAAACGAGATGCAAAAAGGTTATGGCTGCTACTAAAATAGTGGTATAGTACACCACAATAATTCAGCATCTTTTTGGGGGTTACCACAAGGTAAGGCTACTATAAGTACTATTATTGGTACTATATAACTGACTACTATAAGTACTATTACTATTATAATTAGTACTATTGTACTATAGTACTACAATAATTGTTAATATCAAAAATAGTTTTCGACTACTATTAGTACTATTAGTTGAGACAAACAATTTCCAGACCCGTCCCTGACCTCGCATGGCTCTGGATATTGCGCCCAACGTCTTCGCAGGGCGCGGCGTAGCAAGGAGCGCGTGCGGAAATTCCACCAGAGCCTCTTCAGGTGTTTTCAGCAGGGGACTGATTCGCGTGGGAGTTTAACATGGCTTAACCGGCTTCACCATCAAAACTGATGGTTTAATCATAAAAAGAACCGGTTCTCCCATCAAACATAAGCGTTATAAAATGTTATAAATATGAAACATCGAGTTTTAGCATGGTTGAAAGTGTGGATCTGATAAGCAACTGATGGGTGGATTTGTTGTGAAGCAATCTCAAAGATGGGGGGCGGGTTAGAAGCCAACCATCTGAAAATGGGAAAATCCATTGGGTTCATGTACCCAAATCATCGGAAACTTGTGGAAAGATTCACTAAAAACCATCTGATCGCATCAAAAACGACCTAAATGGAAGTCCCGCAGGGAAACACTCTTCTTCAAGATCAGAATAGAACCAAATATATATATATATATAATATGTAATAATATGATAATATATATATATATACTATATATATATATTTATATATATATATATATTTATATATATATATATGTGGTTGTGGGTCAATGCATAAGGGTAGCGACAGACGATAATCAATCAATGGATTTCGGGGTGCCCCATTTTCAGATTTGTTTCAGATACCCTTTGGCAATGAAACAAATTCAATTGAACATCCCGGAAAAAATAATGTTCCTATTGAAACCTGAAGAAATATACATGGTATTTTCCTCCCAGCCGACACCTCCTCTGGTTCTGCTTTATCTGCCAGTTTTGGCGGTCCAACTGGCTGCAGGGAGTTGACAATACCTTGACATCTTATGATTGATTGGCGGAAAATTCAGCTGCCAAGATGGGCCAAAGGCTTGGTTTTACCATAGACAAATAGGGATTTCACCGACAAAAATGGTGGTAAAATAAGGGATAGATCTGGATAGAGTGTGGTGCACCAGTTCTGAATCGCGACACGTTGGTTGAGTAGGTTAACTAGGTTTAAGATTTATGGTGTATATATGTATATAAGAGAGTTAATGGGATTTAACAAACGACTGATCACTGGGGTCCGGGGTACCACTTTTTATGACTCAATGATATCTCGTACAGGTTGCATCTGACCGAATCATGTTGAAAGCCTGATTCGGTCGGCTGGTGACTTTGGTAGACCGTCGACTCTCTACTATCATCCAGTAGGGGGAACAAAACACAAGAACTTGGCATATGACTTGAGAACTCGGCATCTTGCCGTGTACCCGTGCCTTAGGAACAGCGCGTTATATCCCTTGACCCCTGGACCTTCCAATGCTGAAGTTCAGAAAGGTGATAGATAAGAAATTGAGCCGGTGGTTTCCATCAATTCCATTCCAATAAATATATGGATGAGGCTTTGTCAAGCCCATTGCCAGGAAAACGAACGAAAGGTTCCGGAGTCTCCGCTACTCACTGCACGCAGAGGGAGGCTGACTGTGTATGCAACACGCTGGTCCCAGAAACGGGGCCGCCATTTTGGAAGCCTTTCTTTCTTCCGGCAATGTTGCGGCCCCGTTTTTTGGGACCACGAAAGAGCAAACAGGAGCTGCTCGACGGTCCTGACGGTCCGGATTTCGTCCATTTGCTGGCGCCAGCCTTCCTTCTGCAATGCAAGCCGCCATGGACACACGCGTTCGTATAATACTATGAGGGGACATGGCGCAGAAGCTGTTTTGAATCAGTGAAAAGGGTCCACTTTCCGGGGCCGCAAGAAGCCATGCTAACCTCTTGTGCTCTGGCAGCATGCCGCCTTTACAACGCGTCAGGAAGCTGTCTTGCGTGCATCCTGGGAGAAGTCTGTGGCGTGCAATTGTTGCCGTGCATCCCCTCCGTGCGCTTTGGAATATACTATATACGGCCAGAGCACTAAAAGGGACGTAATCCCTTTTATTTATAACGTGGGTTTGAGGGGCGTAATCGGGACGTACGAGGGGCGAAACCACAGATGGGAGGGACGTCATCCCTTATTTACATGCGGGTTGGAGGGGCGTAATCGGGACGTACGAGGGGCGTAACCACACATGGGGGGGACGCAAATCCTTCATTTACATGCGGGTTTGAGGGGCGTAATCGGACGTACGAGGTGGTCCTTTATTTACATGCGGGTTTGAGGAGCAATAGTTTCGGGTAGCGTGGTCTCCTTGGAGTTTGTCCACATGGGGTTCTACACCCCTTGCCTGTGCCTTCCCAAACATAATCGGTTGCAATTGGATTCCTCACAGTTCGGTAGTGGAGAATGCGTTTGGCTGTCAGTCGGCTTGTGCTCAAACGGCGCTGCCACCAGGGCCCGCTTTTGGGGCCGCATCTGCATATGAAAAATGCATTCTTGATGGTGGGCCCTCAATGTATATAGTACATAAGGGCTACCGATCCCAAACAAGATTGGAATTTTGTCATGGATATCAAAGAAATCACCTAATCCAGGAAATCTGGGTCTAAAATAGGACCCCCCAAAGAACTGCTTGGCTTTTTTTCATACTGTAATGTTCCCTATTCAAATTGCCATAAATGGAGGTTTCCCAAGTCATGAGGGTCCCCCAAGTCATTCAAGTCATATGAGACCATAACTTAATATTGAAACAACCATGGTGACGACTGGTACGACTGGGGATCCCCTATGACTTAAGAAAACCCCATTTGGCCATACCATCATTTAACCATCATGTAACCATCGGCTTTCTGATATCCAATGGGAAACTAGCATACTGCAAAAAAAAAACTCCCCGTGTCTTTACCCAGGTGCTGCCAACAAAGTTCGTAGCTGTCGCGGCCACACAGGCCACGACTTCTTTCCTCTCCGGGCTCGTCCGCGGGCGTTTGGAAGCTCGAAAAAGGTCACGAAGTTGCTGCTGATGCCTGAAACAGGGAGCTGACTGATGGCTTTGTCCGAAAGTTGGGGACCCATGGCATGCATGGGACCCCCAAAATCTGATCTCATGATCCCATTTTGAACAGCCAAAACTTGAGGCATCCCGGCATCCCGCATTTTTGGAGAAAGTCACATCCCTCGTACAGTTGCTCATATAATATATGATATATGATAACACTTATGAACGTTGCGATTGGAGCAAACATATGACAATCAACACCTGAACGGCCTAGTGGTTTCAATGTCTCTAATTGACCGTTGAGTTCCCAAATTTGGATTGCATCGTAAACAGCTGGAGTTTTTGCTTGGTCACATTTGGGTCTGAGAATAGGGTATACATTCGCGTTTTCTCCCATGGTTCTGTCCATGATGTTTGTCCATTGAATGGTTCTGTCCATGATGGAATAGGGCATCCCAAGTTTGATGATTTGATGATTGATCCTCATTTTCTGTACATTTGATGACCATGTCGGTACGAGTACCCTATTTCCAGACACGTCCAACTAGCAGATTGTTGGCTAAATAACCCATTATGTATACAATACTGCCATTGTATCCCCATCGTATTCTCATAAAATGTTTGGTTTACCCTTACTAAACTGCCATTTGATTGGTATACCCTCTGGTAATGTGTTACAGTCTGCGACATGGAAAGAACACAATGTTAATAGTTATATCATATTATATCATGGAACTAAATGGGCCATCGGGCCATCGGGCTATGCAAACAACGTCGGTCATTACCAGAGGGTACCCGGTACGGTGATTTCCCAGCGTTTGATGACACCAGAGGATGCTGACTCTCCATATAACCTCATTATACCACCTTTATATGCTACCCTCTGGTAAACAAACATAGCTATTGAAAATGGTGATTTGTAGTGGTTTTACCCATGAATAATGGTGATTGTCCATAGTTATGGGACAGTTGACCAGAGGGTATATCATACTATATCCCAATGATATCCCCATGATATCTCCACCATGATTGGTTGTACCCGGCCTGGTAAACGTTTACAGTTTCCTATAAAAAATAATCCTGCTAATAAGTAAATCAACTACTTTAATGGGCCATGTTCCATAGCACACTCCTAGTTTACCAGAACGTATTCACTATTTCATTATATTTCACTATTAAAATCAAAATTAAACATTACCAACTATTATTCATGAACCAGTTTCATATTATATCCCCATCATTGTTGTGTGTGTACCCCATTTGCCCGCCACCAGGGGTTCGTTCCAAGCCTCCATGGACTTCCACAGTTGGGTCCTCCTCAGGATCCTCCTCCTCCCCTCCTGAAGATCCAATCAAATATCAGCAGAAAATCCTGGGAATCGAACAGCATGGCAGTGTGAAAAGACATGGAAAAACCATGAATTTCACCAGTTGGAAATCGATGTTACAAACGCTACAATGTCTACATTCGAGTCTACAAGTCATTACAGAATTGATTTCAAGAACTGGCTGTTTTAAGCTGAAAACAAACAAATCCCGGAGCAGCGCGCCCGTTTTTAGTTCAATGGTGATTCATCCCAGCCCTCCTTCCATGTCATCATCGCTGTTCTCCTGCAGGCAGCGGGAAAGATTGGTTCCCTGAGTACCATAATGATCATCATTGATCATGGATCATCAAGGATGTGGATCATGGATCATCAATGATGTCAGGATAAACATGGATAAACCATGATGATCCATGACTACCTGACACCTATCAGGTGAGGCTCCCCGGTGATGTTTGTTGGTGGTTGTTGGTTTCTGGGTGGGCCCCCGTGGCCACGACTTGGCTAGCATAGCGACTATAGTATTCATGGGGTTCATAACTGCGGGGCTTCACCCTGTATGAGAATTACACAATCAATCGTCCCACATCTTGGTTATAATCTATATTTTTTTATATTCCCATTATATATTCCCATTCAATTCCTATTGCAAAAAAAACATAAACAATCCCATAAGATGGTTAAACACATGTTAAGAACCCATGAAGAAAACAACAGCCCTATGATATTCCCATGTTCCCCATTCAAAAGCCATTTACCCTCTGGTAATTTCTTACATAGCTATAGAACATATATAAAATCACCATGCTATTAATAGCTAAACCATCTATTTCGATTAGGGCCATCTATACCATAGCAAACTGTAAACGTTTACCAGGCCGGGTACAACCAATCATGGTGGAGATATCATGGGGATATCATTGGGATATAGTATGATATACCCTCTGGTCAACTGTCCCATAACTATGGAAAATCACCATTTTATAGCTGGGTAAATCCACTACAAATCACCATTTTCAATAGCTTTTTGTATGTTTAGCAGAGGGTAGCATTAATAAAGGTGGTATAAAGGTAGTATAACTAACATAACTATGGTAAATCACCATTTAACAATCCCCATGTTCCCCATCCTGAGTGAGTTGCAGCATCTTCCGGTGCTGCATGGCCCAGGCCATCTGCCGACCACATCCAGCGACCTCCTGCGGAGCCAACGGGCCAAATAAATCAAGCGGCTGCCATGAGACAAAACATGTGTATACAGATATGGCCATTTATCAGTTATAAGTACTTATAACCCAACAGCCCTGCTTCCGTTCTTCCACCATCAACGTTGCAAGATGTATTATTTGCATACACCGAACAACTATTATCTCATGATTTCAGAAATCCCACCAGATACCAGATTTGTGATATAATAAATACTAATAAATTTATTGATACCAGATACCAGTTATACGGTCTGAACTAACCCCATTTATAGAAGTATAATCCCATAGAAATAACCAGTTATGAAGTAGATACCACAGTTATGGCCATTTTTTTAATTATAACTGGTTATTTCTATGGGATTATACATTCTATAAATGAGGTTAGTTCAGTACTTATAACTTGTATTTTGGGCCATAACTGTAGAATCTCGGATGTTCAGAAATATTGAAAACATGAGGATTCTTGAAAAAATGTAAATATATTCTATAAAATTTTATCTACTCCAGGATGACTATATATATATATTTATATATATATTTATATATATATATGTACTGTATATACATATATCATATATGGGTTTGTCTGAGAAATAGTGTAAACTAAATTTTACTGCCTTTTTCTTGACAAACCCGAATATATATATATATATAATAATAACATATCATTATATACATTATATATATAATATACATATTATATACATATTATTGGTCTAAATTTCAAAATTGTCTAGATATTATAACTTGATGTAATCACAATTCTACGCGATGAATCAAATCTGAAACCGTCCATGAATGATATAGTTACCTGCATTTCAGGGTGAGTTTTTGGGCAATCGTGGATGACATATAAATGATATATGAAATGATATGCGCATGATCATTGGATTTGGGTAGCAGTATGGATAAAGATTCGGTCTCTGAAAAATTGAGATGCCTACAAGTACCAACCAATAGGGCCTCAAATGACTCTGGTTTGTTCCTTTTCATGATCCAGCTCATGCTACATCAGCTCCCACAATCTAAATGAAAGAATAAACAACATTAAACAACCATTGTGGTACCCTCATCTTTGCTTGTCACATTCCCAGATTTCCCAGCTCTCTTGCTTTGAATATCACCAAAATCGAGCAGAAAAACGCCACGGGATTCCACGGGATTCCTGGGATTCCACGGGTCGCACTGAGCCCCCGAACCAAGAAGCTGCGGGAAAGGGTCACCGTGTTGAACGCATTCTGCTCCTGGTCGCATAGTGCCCCTTACCAGGTAAGACCGGGGCCTCCATCGAATGGATGGCTTTCCAGCCGAGGGATGCCTTGCCCGGTAGAAACGACTAAAAAACCTGTGATGTGCATCCAATTAGTGAGTGCTTAAGGATGTGTAGCATATTGTAACTAGGTACTGTATATATATATATATAGCTAGAATTTGGTGATTCACCCGTGAGTTTGACACCCTCAGCGACTAAGGTGCACATCCACGATCATCCCAGACTTGGCAAACAAAAACAAAGGCCGTGGAGCAGTTTCTGCCCGACATCTCCCCGATGTCACATATTTTCACCATTTGTCGGTGTGGTTTCCGGCCAGGTACTAAGACAAATCCATAGTCTTGGAGCAGCTTGTCATTGGAGAACTCGCCGTATGTGTTGAAGATCTCTACATCTGCAGCAAGGTCCTGAGACCAATCCGACCAATCCGACCAGTGTCGCAAGGTTCGTGAAGCACCTACGGGGTGGTAAACAAACAAAAAATAGAGGGTTCGTCCCTATCTACTGGATCCCAGTAATATATCCCATTATATACATGGTAGTTTAATCTAGTTCACTTATCCCAGAAACGCTAATAACCACTTGCGAGGACCGTGGGATGATCTGATCAAAAGTGAACTAGGGTTACAGTAACTAACTTGCAACAGGGCGGGAACACCAAGTTCGTCTCCCTAGGCCCAACGTTTTGAGGGTGAAACAGGAGGTCCTTTTTTGGGTCGACAATTAGGTGCCTGGGAAAATGGATACGATTGACCTTTTTCCCGAGAGCGTCTGAGCGCAGGGTTCTTCCAATAGTGGGGGTCTGTAAAACATCTTCTCATCTTCACATCTTCTCATCTTCACATCTTCTCATCTTCACATCTTCTCATCTTCACATCCTCTCATCTTCACATCTTCTCATCTTCACATCTTCTCATCTTCACATCTTCTCATCTTCACATCTTCTCACTTCTCACACATCTTCTCATCTTCTCACATCTTCTCACATCTTCTCACATTTCTCACTCTTCATCTTCACATCTTCACATCTTCTAATCTTCACATCTGCTCATCTTCACATCTTCTCACATCTTCTCACATCTTCTCACATCTTCTCACATCTTCTCACATCTTCTCACATCTTCTCACATCTTCTCACATCTTCTCATCTTTACATCTTCTCATCTCACACCTTCTCCTCTTGCCCTCTTGCCCTCTTGCCCTCTTGCCCTCTTGCCCTCTTGCCCTCTTGCCCTCTCCTTTTCTATTTCTTTCTTGAAGGCGGGAGCAGGGGCAGTGGCAACGAGACGGCAAGAAATGAGGTTCGATCGCCAAAAATGAAATGAGGTTCGATCGCCAAAAACTGAGGTAAAATTGCGATTTCAACTTGTCCCGCGCAACCCTTTCGCACGAAATGATGTTCGATCGTCAAAAACTGAGGAAAAATTGCGATTTCAACTTGTCCCGCGCAACCCTTTCGCACGAAATGAGGTTCGATCATCAAAAACTGAGGTAAAATTGCGATTTCGTGTTTCCGGTGGACTGTTTCGCACGAAATGAGGTTCGATTGTCAAAAACTGAAGATTGCGATTTCAACTTGTCCCGCGCAACCCTTTCGCACGAAATGAGGTTCGATCGGCAAAAACTGAGGTAAAATTGCGATTTCAACTTGTCCCGCGCGACCCTTTCGCACGAAATGAGGTTCGATCGTCAAAAACTGAGGAAAAATTCCGATTTCAACTTGTCCCGCGCAACCCTTTCGCACGAAATGAGGTTCGATCGTCAAAAACTGAGGTACAATTGCGATTTCGTGTTTCCGGTGGACTGTTTCGCACGAAATGAGGTTCGATTGTCAAAAACTGAAGTAAAATTGCGATTTCAACTTGTCCCGCGCAACCCTTTCGCACGAAATGAGGTTCGATCGGCAAAAACTGAGGTGAAATTGCGATTTCAACTTGTCCCGCGCGACCCTTTCGCACGTCACTTTCGCACGAAATGAGGTTGGATCGCCAAGAACTGAGGTAAAATTGCGATGTGTGTAAAAGCGTCTGTGTGTAAAAGCGTCTGTGTGTAAAAGCGTCTGTGTGTAATAGCGTCTGTGTGTAAAAGCTTCTGTGTGTAAAAGCGTCTCTGTGTAAAAGTGTTTGTGTGTAAAACTGTTTGTGTGTAAACTTTTGCGTGTAAAAGCGTCTCTGTGTAATAGCGTCTGTGTGTAAAAGCTTCTGTGTGTAAAAGTGTCTGTGTGTAAAAGTGTTTGTGTGTAAAAATGTTTGTGTGTAAACGTGTTTGTGTAAATGTGTCTGCGTGTAAAAGTCTCTGGGTGTAAACGTGTCTGTGTGTAAAAGTAAAAGCGTCTGTGTGTAAAAGCGTCTGTGTGTGAAAGTGTCTGTGTGTAGGGGCATCGTTGTGTAAATAAGTCTGTGTGTGCAAATGCACTCAGAATGACCGAACTGTGCGGCCCGCAGATTTTCATTTGTGAAGACACTTCAAAATATCCAATCACTGCGCTCGCTTGCACGAGCCCTCGGCTGAACCTCTGTGTAAAAGCGTCTGCGTGTACAAGTGATTGTGTGTAAAAGCGCTTGTGTGTAAAGCCGTCTGTGTGTAAAAGCGTCTGTGTGTAAAAGTGTTTCTGCGTAAAAGTGTTTGTGTGTAAAAGCTTCTGTGTGTACAAGCGTCTGCGTGTAAAAGCGTCTGTGTGTAAAAAGTGTTTGTGTGTAAAAGTGTTTGTGTGTAAAAGTGCCTGTGTGTAAAAGCGTCTATGTGTAAAAGCTTCTGTGTGTCAAAGCGTTTGTGTGTAAAAGCAGCTCCTGTGTGTAAAAAGGTCTGTGTGTAAAAGTGTCTGTGTGTAAATGTGTCTGTGTGTAACAGTGTCCGTGTAAAAGCGTCTGTGTGTAAAAACATCTGTGTGTAAAAGCGTCTGTATGTAAAAGCTTCTGTGGGTAAAAGCTTTGTGTGTAATAGCCTCTGTGTAAAAGCTTCTGTGTGTAAAAGCTTCTGTGTGTAAAAGCTTTTGTGTGTAAAAGCGTCTGTGTGTAAAAGTGTTTGCGATGCAAACTATTGTCTTGCACTTCTCACTATTTTGTCTTGCTACTCCTCTTCTCGACTGCCTATAACACATCTTTCATATATTGTTTGTAAAATTGTGTCTCCATACTAACAAGAGAAGACCCTGCTCCTCTACGCTCTCGGGCCATCCGTCGTCTAGTTCAAATTGAAGATTTACCACTGATGGGGTACCGTACTTTCAGATCAAGTTCCATTGCAAGGTACCCTCTGGTAATTTAACATAGCTATTGAAAATGACCATTTAATTTATAGTGGATTTTCCAATTGAAAATTGTGCTTTTCCATAGTTTTTTGTAAACGTTTACCAGAGGGTAACAGACCATTTGGACCCCTTCGCCACCCGCAGCATTTGGCCCAGCAGCCGTCAGGACGTAAATCATCAAATGTCCCGAAGGTCCTGTGCCAGACCTTTTGGCCTGCGCAGCTGCGCAGGGAACTGAAGAAGAATCCAGGCAGGTGACCTCACCAAATAAGGGTGTACATACCAAAAAACAAGTTATATAACATCGTAAGTATATATATATATTCTACATTATATATAATATATATATATATATATATTATACCGCCACAGGCAAGACCTAAAAGGCCGAGCAAAAAAATATATTATTATATATATATATTATAGACATTATAATATAATATAATATAATATAATATAATATAATATAATAATATATATATATACATACATGAATTCGGCCCATGAAATTAACATTTATTATAATTGCAACGCTCTTTTTACAGGGCGAATCTTCACCAGCTCAGCTCGTGGTCACCTTTGGGTGGGTTCCGCAGCTCCTACATCTCCAGATTATAGTGTCTAATGGTCGTAATAGATAGCAACAATAGTATACTATATTCTGGTATATTATGGCACAATAGTATGAAACACTATTATATTATATGGAACAATAGTATGGTATATTGCTGGAGATGGTATACCATTGGTAATATTAAAGAACAAAAACTAGATTATATCACAATCCCATACATATATAATACATAACACAAAATAACAATAATATGAATTTGTCGTCGTCATCATCATGACATCATGAGGGTTTGACCACTGCCTGGCTCCTTCCTGTCCTACCATGTCTGAGTTCACATGACAAGCCTCGTTTCACCCTACCAATTTTTATAAATTTCCAAGAGGGGGTATAACTAGTTGATCCCCATTGTTTGTTGGTAGAACCCAAGGATTGATGCTTCATCTTGTGAAAGATGGTGTGGAATCCCCGCTTTTGATGCTTAGAACATCTTGAAACTTATTATATGATTTGATAGTTGAATCCACATGTTCGATTGTGAAACCTGACATGTTTGGTAATGTTTGGTGCTTAAAGCCCAATTTCCATTGCCCTCTCACCATCACCACATCGCCACATCGCCTGATGAACTTCTGTGGTCTCAGCTAGCGCAATTTGCCTCAAGCTGCACCATTGCAGGGGGAGCTTGTGCGTAAAAACTCAAAATTTAGGACGCTTATAACAGTGATAACAGAGTTTGGTTGGTTTGGGTGCTCAAACTGATCATCAACTAAAACACTCAAAGTCAAAGTGAAAAGAAACATCTCAAGAGTATAGTAAAAGTCTATTATTTAATATTACTATAAATATCAATCTCACAACTAGAAATACCCAATCTTCACTAAGTAGTATATCAAGTTCAAAAACCTCCAGCCGATGATCTTCTTTTGCAACTCAGTGGCATCGGTGGCACCTTCCCTTGCCACACGCCGAAGGCATCACGTGCTGCACCCCTCAGCTAGCGTCGTGGCGTCGTTGATGGGCTTCGATTGCAGCTATGTGAAAACTGTCTGTTTAGATTAGTCTAACATGTATACATAGTATACTGGTTGGTGGTATACCTACCCCTCTGAAAAATATGAAAGCCAGCTGGGATGATGACTTTCCAATATATGGACAAATAAAATTCATGTTCCAAACCACCAATCAGGTATACATAGTATATAATCTAAACATAGTTGCGATCATTGAGAATCAAAGGTGCCCCCCTTTCATGATGTGTGGGTTATTTTCCGGGCTTGTCAGCCGGTTGCCGCCCATGATGTTACTGGTTGGATGTTGCTTGAAATGGTCATGCACATTTTGAGCAACACACTCAAGGCGGAGATTAGGGATCCCCAAAGAATGGAAAGATTGCATGAGTAAACAGAACACACCTGAAAGAAGTTCATTCTCCAGTACTACCAATGACCATAGACATTTCGGTATCCCAAGAGTCAAATTCCAAAGAACCCATGGTCAATCTTAGATATCCTGCATTTCTTCAAAAGCTGGTCAGTAGATATTCATCAAAATCGCAAGCTTCCAGTACTAAGTTGACCAGTTGACCACCTAAGCCTAAGTATACTTATAATCACAATAAACCCATACAAGCCCTAGTTTCTCTGGTTACAAACTACCGTCACCACCATAGCTCCCAGCTGGTGGCAACCAACATCCCTGGCACCGAGCCGCGTTGCGCCCCGCGGTTTTTTCGAAGCTTTCCCTGGACGTGACATGGCTCCGGGGAGCTTTTGTGATGTGCAGCAACCCTACAAGATAGATTCAGATAGATAGGACTTAGGACACTTTGAGAACTGAATTTACTGAATGATCTAGAGGAAAACATAATGCATGATCATAACCCATGATGAATTCCCATTCATGAGCTGAAACAAAACAAGTTTCAAAACATCTATCATATCTATCTGCATAAATCACTCGTGTTGTTTCCCCAACCATGACTATGGAATGGGAGTTTGTTTGCCCGACTAAGCATCATCCCACTGACTGACATCGCAGTGACTTTGTTTTAATATCTATATATATATAATATATTTTTCCATATATACATAATTGGATAGAAGTGGATCATGATTAATCTATCTATCTATCTATCTATCTATATATATATATAAAATAATATATATATATATAATACAACAGGGTATCTTGTCATGACCGCCTTTGAACTGGTCATGTCCACCCCAGGCCTTAAAAAAAACTTGGGCTTGGACGATCTCTGAGGGGTCAACACTCATCCGGGCTTGACATTAGCCACTTCTTGTTGGCTACTTTGATCCCCCTTGTATAATATTGAAGACTCCCATTGTATGGTCCAAAATCTGAGAAAATTCGATACAAAACCATGATGAATTGGTTGGGAAACTCGAAAAAAAATACTTTACTTCGTGTGATCCCCACCATGACATTTATACATTTTGGCATTACTGGCAAATCTTCTGGCATTCTATCTGACATATTTATCTGGCATTCTTCTGGCATATCTTCTGGCATTCTACTTCTGGCATATGGCATATGTTCTGGCATATCTTCTGGCATTCCATCTGGCATTCTATCTGGCATATCTTCTGGCATATTATCTGGCAAATCTTCTGGCATTCTCTGGCATCTGGCAAACATTCTGGCACTTTATCTGGCATATCTTCTGGCATTCTAGCTGACATTCTATCTGGCATTCTATCTGGCATACCTTCTGGCATTCTATCTGGCATATCTTCTAACATTCTATCTGGCATATCTTCTGGCACTCTATGTGGCATATCTTTTGGCGTGGATACTCGCGGTTGAGGTCCGGCAGGGAACACTGGGCGTGGATGGTCGTGGTTGAGGTCCGGCAGGGAACACTGGGCGGGGATACTCGCGGTTGAGGTCCGGCAGGGAACACTGGGCGTGGATGGTCGTGGTTGAGGTCCGGCAGGGAACACTGGGCGTGGATGGTCGTGGTTGAGGTCCGGCAGGGAACACTGGGCGTGGATGGTCGTGGTTGAGGTCCGGCAGGGAACACTGGGCGGGGATACTCGCGGTTGAGGTCCGGCAGGGAACACTGGGCGTGGATGGTCGTGGTTGAGGTCCGACAGCGAACACTGTGGATCGCGAGTCGCAGTTGAGCAGGAGGACGAGGAGGACAACGAGAGGAGGAGGAGGAGGAGGCGGAGGAGGAGGAGGAGGAGCAGGAGGAGGAGGAGGCAACTGACATAAAATCTAACAACCCTCACCTGGCAGGTGGGGAACAATAGCCTTGGAACAAGACACTATCCAATCTGAAGATGTTTTTTTCCTACTTGGGGATTCCATGGTCCATTCTTTCGTCGCGCCACGGCCGCCACAGCTTGCCGCCTGAGACTTCTCGCACCGCTTCGCCCTTGGGCACCTTTTGGCAACGATGGTTGAAGACATCCGCCAGAGGCACTAGCGCCTGGACGGAGCTTGGGTGCGCCTGGAAGTGGTGATATCAATATAACTGGGGTATATCCCATTGTATAAATATATATATACTGTATACACTGTATATATATATATATACATATTGTATGTCTATACATTATTTCTACAGAGATAAATAAAACTAAAAATAATAATAATATAATCATAATAGTAATAATAATGATATACATATATACATGTTTTATTATATGTATAAGTATAAGATGTGATCTCTATATGTGAACATATGTATATATATATACATGAGGGTGAAATGTTAGCGTTATTACCCACTTAGTCATTGGGCACATCCAAATATTGTGCGTTTGAGCCACCCGAAAATCCGAAAACCATGGGATCGTCCATCTTAGTGCGCAGCCCACGGCCTCCAAATGGAAGTCGTCCACAGTGAATGCCTGGGAAGTACAGCTGGTCGCTTTGATTTGTGGCACTATCCACCTTGGGATGTGACAATTTTCGAAAAGCGCTTCCAAAAAATGCAGATGTCATTCATTTGTCAACATGAACTATCCCTTATGCCTTATTATCCCTTTTTGGACAAGTACAAGGCATTTTGGCGTTTGCCTCTTAAACCTCCCTGTCTTGTTTTGGATGCAATTCTTCCTCAAGCTTTGCCACACAAGTGAACCCCGTACGTACAGTCTAAACTTGAGAGGCTTAATGAAAACTGAAGGGCAAATGATACGAGATATGAACATGACACAGGAAAATGAGCATGTCAACTAAAAATTCTTTTTCAATAGCTATTGTTTCATGCTCATGCTAGTGTCAACATATTCAACTCCATGAAAATTCTGCATGTGTTTTCTCCTCTTGGCGCTGAATTTTCGACCGTAGATTCCCGCTTCATCCCACCCATCGTCGCCAAAGAGCTCGAGAACTCGCCAGTGTGGCCGCATGCAAATAATCTTCCATTTGGATGGAGACCTGAAAAAAAATACGGCCGCTGCTCCTGGAAGAATTTCAGCACAAAAAAGGCACAGAGAGAAACCACACAACAAAATTGCCCTTAGGGAATTTTCATTTCGTGATGTGTGACGGTGAAGTGTAGAGCCATTACACCTGGTTGGTGGTATACCTACCCCCTCTGAAAATATGAGTTCGTCAGTTGGCATGATTATTCCCAATATTAATGGAAAGTCATAATCCATGTTCCAAACCACCAACCAGCCTGTTTTTTGCTGAGCGACACCCTTCAAGGCTGGTGCTCTATCCAGAATGTGTCGGAGTTCCGCAAATTCCTGGGCGGCCATAGGCGGCCCACACATCGGAAATTTCACCATTTACCATCCAACTCTTAGGAAATAACACGAAAAAGGTCCTTGGTATTTTTTTATTTCCCTCCGACCCGGTCAGTCATCGGGGTTGGAAGATTAGTTTCCACTTAAAAAATGTGATTTTCAGGGTCTATGTTCATTTACCAGAGGGTAAAATGTTCATCATTACAGACTCAGTCGACTGTTGTTCACTGAAAACTCTCTGCAACCAGATCATTTTCGCCCTTCAGCGGAGCTTCTGCTTCCAGCTCCATCATCAGCTCCTTCACCTGACGATAACCATCCAAGCATTGAGCACAAATGATGGCATGATGCTTACACTTACACAGCTTACACATGATTTCCCAACAATTGATTTGAAGAATTAACAACAAATTTTCACCTGTATCACTGCTGTATCACATGAAAAAAAACACAAGCTTTTGCAAACCAACATATTTGATTTATATAATAGCAAAGTCTTACGTTCATTGTGGTCCCCGTAGAATATGCCATTTCCGCATATCACCCACAGGAGGCTTGGCACATCCTCAGGTGGGCTCTGGTGCCCAGGCATCCCAGGCGGCCACGGGGAATTTAGAGATGCACCGGGTTAACCCCATTAAATAATAGTTATAATTAACCATGGCACTTATATATGGAATTAACTATGGTAGTTAAAATTAAATAGAGTTGTACCTGGCACAGACCATTCATAGTTAACCGAGTGATGAACCAACTTAGCTCTGGGGGCCCCACCTTGCATGGCAGGACGAGCCACTGGATACAGTGCAGCCATATGGAGATATTGGATAGACTCAATAAAAGGACTTACCAGCATAGGTGACAACGCATCGATATAGTACCAACATATCGTTCTGAATTATATATACAGGGTTTATGTAGATGTATGAGTCATTGTATGATTGTAGCAGTCTACATAAAAATAAATAAATAATAAATAATAAATAATAATAATAACAATTAATAATAAAAATATAATAATTATATAATAATAGTCAATAATAATAATATATATATATATATGTATATACACACATCATGATATAACCATGGCCAACTGGCCAACAGCCTGACAATCATTGCACCGAAGTAGAGCCATCCAACGCCCAACGCCCGCCCAAGCGACCGTGTCTTCCGCATCGGTGCCGCGCAGATTTTCGCGCAAGGTCGGGCTCCAGAGATACGGTAGCGACTCGTAGGGTCGGAGGAGCGACTGGAAGTATCCTGCCGTTGTTCAACCCGAGATATGGGCCACTGGCGGCCACAGGGGTGGTATAAAATTCTTTGAGAACTAGGTGTGGTAACATAAATAAAGCGAGGTTGATTTAGTGAGGTTATGTCTGTTTATGGTACGATATACCAACTGAAGCTAAGGAAGTGGGGCAACACCTTGCAGAAATAATCGAAAATGGAAGTCGATGAGTTGAGGGAGCTAGAGTTGTTGGAGGAAAAACATGGATAAAGCTGTGTGTTTACCTTCAAATATAGGAGTTTCCTGCAAATTCCTGTTTCAACATGTTTACTACATGGAATTGAACTTTAATTTGGGGAAAACGTCATGCCCTACGTGCAAAGAACAAAAGCTACAAAGGGCTACGTAGGTTTTATATGGTTTTATGAAGTAATTATGTATGTAGTTGAAATGTGGTTTGTCAGAAACCCTTGCCCCTCCCCACTTAAAATTCAGTGACGTTTACATGGTCAATTTCACAAAATGGACCCCCGCAACGCACGAGTTCTGAGAACACCATACAAAATCACAGCCACAGCCACATTCAAACGTGACCAGATAATTACTGTGAATTGGTCTGAAAAACAAAGTCCAAAAAAACAGAGGTTTTATGTTATTGTTCCCTATTCAGAATTCTGACAACAATTAATCATGTTGCCGGTTATACATGGTTATACTATCCATGTATATCCCCATTATATCACCAACAACATGGTTTTTGTTTTTTTTTACTGCCACTGCCCATCCAATACCCATGATATAAACTTTACATGTGCGATGATCACAAGTTCCATGTCAGGATGGCCAGGTGTGACCCAGTCCGATTTACTGTACATGTCCCTACTGTCTAAGTAGTCTATACTCACCGATGATCTTGTGAATAACCCAGATGCTCCATGGTGCTGGAATATTTGCCAACATTTACCCTAAACATCACCCAGTCATGTAGGTAAATATACCAGCACCATGGAGAATATGGGTAAGATAGCAGATTTCGAAACGACCCCTGACATCTGAAGACTTCTGAAGGTGTTGGCGCATCTTCCTGCGCTGCTGAATGGTCTGAGATCCGAGCATCCCAAGAAATCCCAAAGCTTTCCGATGGAAAGTGCTGCTCATCCAAAATATGCTACCGGTGGTATAGATTATATCCCCATGTTTTTTGGGATCCCCGAAACGATAGGTTCTCCACTTTTCCTAGGATGTGAACATATGATGCTCATCTCAAATTTCCTAGGTTCCCCACTTTTCGATATTTTTTTGGGGGTTGCTCCAATGTGGCCTAAGAATGGTCGTAAGATCGTTCTTTGTGTTGATCAATCACAAATTACATGTCACCAACCCCAACCAGATTTGTTCGTTGCCAGCTACATGATGTAATTTACATCCTCATCTTTGGGTTGGAATACTGTTGGTAATCCGGTCCCGCTAATATCACATTAAACAAAGCCCGAAACATGTTTTTGTTTAGTCAGGATTTCGTTTGCTGGGTATTTAATCTCCAAATCAGCAGTGAGTTTAAAGCCTCTGTCATTCTATAAACTGGTTGGTTAAGAACTGGATTCATCAACCAACCATCATTTCGAAAGTATATCCCCATCTGTTTGTGATGCTTAAATCAGTTTAAACAACTGTGATTATAAGTGACCTATATGCTATATCAATCTATATCATGTTATATCACAGTTTGATAGTTATACGGCTTACACCATGGCTTAGATCATGTTATAACCATTTATAACCAGTAGTTATGATAGTTAGTTATAGGGGTTGTACCATGTTCGAAAACCAGTGAAAACAACAACACTGTGATGATTTCTCGCGGTCCATGCCAACGGCTTCGCGACTTCAAGGCCCTCTCAGCGCAGATGGCCAAGCGCAAGGCTGGGTCCAAGTCCAGGTGCGCAGCAGCTAAATCCTGACGAGCCAGAGCCAGAGCCAGAGGTGATAAAGATGATAAAACATGGGGCAAGAGCTGATACCATAAGTTTAGCTTGGAAAAAGGTACCGTTACTGTAACTAGTTTGTTTTTATGTGATAAAACAAATACCATTATAAGTGATAACAAATGATACCCCAGCTTAATAATGGTTGGTAGGTATCGTTACTATAATGGTTAGCGGCTAGCGGTTTAAACTATGGCCCTTTGTGGGTACCATGGGAATCTAAACTCCTATAAGTTGGGATATAACATGATATAACTCCTATGTCTATGGTGAATTTACACTCCACTTATAGCTGAAGCGACACTGAAAAACTAAGTTTGCCAAGTTGGTAATTTGATCAGAAGCGGTGATTTGTTCACCAAACATACGTTATGTGGATTTAGTATGATTTAGCTATATAGCTACGTTGGTTCGGTATGGTTTAGTTCTGTGAGCTGTTGAGCTATTTCCAACTGCTGGGGGGTCCAGGCGGGTCTTAAAAGGGGGATGCCTTTTGGAGGATTGGTTGAGACATGTTGAGACAAACACTGAAACATATGAGATACCCTCTGGTAACTTGTTACATAGCTATGGAAAATGGCCCATTGATAGTTGATTTACCTAGTAAAAATGGTGATTTTCCATAGCTATGTTAAATTACCAGAGGGTAGGGGATCATATCGGTGACAAACATTGGAACTGATTGAGACAGTCTGCATCAAAACACGGGGATGTTGATATATGAACCAGCAGTCATTGGTTTGAAGCAAAATGGTGGTTATCAGTCTGGTTGGAACTCGCAACCAACGAAAAAGGACGATCAACCGAAACACAAGAAGGAAACTCCGTTCTTGTTGCGGGGGCCACCCATCCAACCAACTGTGGATGACAATCACAAGTAGCTGTGGTAAATAAATGTAGATAAGACTCCTTTCAAGGAACCAACAAACAACCCCAACTTGCCACTGAGGAGTAAATTTGTCAGACGCGTGCATCATTGTAGAATTATTCCAACCGAACATGTAAGATGGAAATGATGTTAGTTCTACTACAAGGTGAGCCCCCACAGCTATGAGTTTGTTTTTTTTTAATAGCCCCATGATTTTTGGATAACATGGCCACAAATCATCATACCCTCTGGTTAAGTCAAAATAGCTATTGAACATGGTGTCATAGAAAGTTCGAACTGATTTACCCATTAATAGCATGGTGATTTTCCCATAGAAATCACCATTTTCCCCTGGTTTTCCCCTGGTTTTCCCATGGTTTTCCCATGGTTTTCCCATGGTTTTCCCATGGTTTTCCCATGGTTTTCCTACAAATCATCATAAATCCAAGGAGATGGACATGGATATAAAACATAACTCATTGGCCCACCAGATCCAGCACCAGATCACCATCCCCATGGCCTAACTGGAGAGAAAGGGATTCTCTTGCATTTAGAACTGGTTTATAGCTGAATTCACCACCACATGTATTTATATGGTTTATATGGCCATTTATAGCTAATATATATATGGTTTATTAATCATATATTAACCATATATTAGCCATATATGAACCATGTTGTGATACATCCCCGCAGCCGCCAGCGCCCCTTCAGCACGACAGCCGCCGGGTCTCTGCTGCCAGAACTGTGTTCCTGTCCACAGGAAGCCGCCAGTCACGACTTGGTCTATCCCACCTAACATCACCTAACTATAGGATATACATGAATATATATATATATATCTGGTTGGTGGTTTCAACACCTCTGAAAAATATTAGTCAGTTGGGATGATTCTTCCCAATATATGGAAAAATAAAAAATGTTTGAAACCACCAACCAGATATATATATACTGTATCCAAGATTTATTTTAACACTTAGATACACCCCTGGCCCAGTTATCAACCAACTTACCTGGCCTACCTGGCCCAGTTATCATGCTCCACATGCGCCAGGTGAAATCCCCCGCCTAATGGACAGCACGGCGGACTTGGGGATCTCAGCCAGAACGCTTCCTCCCATGGGATGACCGTGGACGCAGTGAATAAGCACTTATATAAGCATTTAACAAGGGTCTACATCAATATTATACATATTATGTAATATTTTATATACACGCATCCTTAGAATATATATGTATATGTATGTATATACAATTATATTATATGTATATATATATATGAATATATATATGAATATATAGAGGGGTTTATTGACATTTATTCATAGCCAGCCCAGCATCGAGGTCTTATCTGGGGGTTGAATCCCTATGATATGATGCCAGAGTACGTCAGTACGTAGACGTAGACGTACGTCTCTTGAGAGGGCCACCAGTCGGTGAAAATCCAAAACTAAGCACAGTTATGGCCCTTTACCAGTTATAAGTACTTATAAGCCCATTTATAGAATGTATAATCCCATTTATAACCAGTTATAACTAATAAATGGCCATAACTGCAATGATGTAACATGAGTCATTGGCATTTTCTGGGACGGCTCTAGTTTGTTTTGGTAAAATTTGGTGAAATATCGTAAAATGCTAAAGATTGGGGTATGTGGTATAGCACAAAATCACCATCAAATCATAAGGAACATATTTCATGTTCAATCATAGTGTGAAATTGCCAAAGTTTTAGACAAAGCCACATGGCTAAGGAAGAACAAACTCACGGGGGAAAGTCTCAACTTGGGGATTTCTTAACCAGGGTTTTGTAAGGTGATCAATCAGGTACTAAGTCGTCGCTGTTGAAATCGCCGATCCAAAAACTGCAACCAACATATCGAAACAATTCGAAACATGTAGGGAATATGTTTTACCAACATTGTTTACCCCACATTTACCCACATTTACCCATTTTTTTTGGGGTGGTAAATGTGGGTAAATATTCCAGCACCGAGCATTGGGGGATGGGATGAACATCCGTGGCTGAACATCTCAGCCATCTGGTTATGACTAACATAGCCATGGAAAATCACCATGCTATTAATAGGTAAGCCATCTATAAATGGGCCATTTCCCATGGCTATGTTAAATAACCAGAGGGTAACATGGATTATATACTGTGTATCACAGAGAGAATAGTTCATCTATAGATACCAAACATTGTTTTGTTTTTTTCTCAAACTGAAGGACTTGCGAAACCAGTTTATGGCCCAGAATGGGAAACAACATCCACCATGACTTGCGATGTCACCACCGGTGCGGAATCAGACTCTAATGGACCTGGGAGGACCCCGCTGCCTGCTGCAATCTCTTTGCGACTGATGATGCCCATACCACCCACCCCAGAGGAGATCTGTAGGGCCTGAGGCAATTCATGGGGATCTTTCGAATTGCCCCACATATCATGGGGGGATATCATGGGAATCTCATGGGAACATAAAATATCAACCGTAGTTTCGGGATCAAAACCCATACTTTAAAGGTGGTGACCCAGGTCGGACTCGCGACAAGGACAAGTCCGACAAGTTGCTAACTTAGTTCCGTAGCAAAAAAAACGTTTGGCTTCATGCTAGATATATAATGAGATATGATATAATATATATATATACATAAATATAATAATAAATATATATATATACACAATATATAATATATAAATTATATAATATATATATATATATATATATATCGAATTCGTTGATGGATGTTCATGGAGGCTTCAAACCAACTTCTAACTGAGCGGGGGCAAATGGATGGTATACGGATCATTGGCGTACTGGTAAAACCCTATGGGTTTCCGGTAGAATGTCGAGTTGTAAAGCGATAACATTGGGGCACCAATGCACCCACCACCTTTAAGATTCTTGGTATTAAATCATATGCAGTTCTTGCAGGTGTGTCATTTAGAGATACTCAAATCTCAAGCCACGATTCAGTAATGTTCAAAAAATAGAGGAAATGCAATGATAACCTTCCAAACATCAAATCCCTATGGATCCAAAGACTGTCTCAGAAAGTACTTACCCCCTTCATACCCCAAACACTTCCTAAGAAGGTACGACTGGATCCATGGGGAATCAACATTAGCAGCATCGAATCACTTGGCTGGCAGCGCTGAGTCGTCCGTGGACTTTTAGTAGTAGGTAAAACAATACCATAAATAAACCATCCCATGACTGGGAATGGTTTATAAAGTTTATATATACCACTTAAAAAATGGTGATCGGTGATGACTGGGGGATGGTAAACATGACATTGTTATAGGTGGTATATATATAAACCATAAGTAATTGTGACCAAAACCTATAAACATGTTTATGACATTGTTTTAACCACATTACTTGTTTTGGTCACCTCTGTGAGTTCACCCCAGCAATCTGCACAGTTTCCAGCCGCCAAGCAACCTCTTGGTCCCACCATACGCCCTGCTCCCGCAACCATGCCTTAGGATCCGGTGCCATGATCAGATGACAACATGGGACCATGATTTCAGAAATCACCAAAACAAATGCACCGGTCACCAGCAACATCCAACTTCTCAAAAACGAAGAAACTGGTTGGTGGTTTCAACCTACCCCTCAGAAAAATCATGGAGCGAGTAACAGTTGGGATGATGACATTCCATTCCCAACTGAATGGAAAGTCATAAAAGCCATGTTCCAAACCACCACCCAGCCATTTATATTCCATTACCAGAGGGTTAATCACCATTAATCACCATTAAATCACCATTAAATCACCATTAAATCACCATTAAATTACCATTAAATCACCATTAAATCACCATTAATATCACTATTAAATCAATGATTCAACGAACTGTGGCAAGTCATCTCCCAGAACATGGCACCCCTCGACTCACCAAGAAAAGGTAAGGACCCCGTGGCCCCGACGTATCGACGTAAGCAAGTTGACGCACAGTTCACTTGGCTAACGTTGGGGTTCATGGATATTTATGGGGGATATAACATGATATATATATATATATATGTAAGTATATTGACTATACTATAGTTTTTAATAGTATTCATAGGGTTTATAATTTTCTACAAACCCAATGATAGCTGGGGGGGCCCATTCATACTCTTGTGTTGACCATCTATGTTCAGCCGCTGATGTGTTGCGCCGACTGTGGCTTTTCTGCTAGGAGATGGAACTGGAAAAAATGCAAACATACAATCAGAACAATGAAGCAACAAATCCCTTACCCCCATCATTTAAATCAGTTTATATAAATATCCCTCTAAAAACCCTGCTTTTTTTTCATATCGATCTTCTATTAAGACTTGGTGGCTAGTTTCTGGGGAATCATCTCCGAGTCTCCCCGCCTGCAGGGTGTCGATGCACTTCCCAGGAAGCTTTCCACGTCCGGAGTCCATGGGTGTTTTGTTTTTTTTTTTCTGCCAGAAGATGAGAACTTTTGATGGGAAAAAATATAAGTATGTATATATGTATATATATATATATATAAATAATTACATATATATATATACATAATTATTTATACATATAATTATATATATATAATTATATGTACAATAATATATATATATATATGATTTTATATATGTACATGTGCCTGGAGATGTATGCGGACATGTGGTAAACTCCAACCATCCACAAAGAGAAATATCCACCTGTTTATGGACACCTGAAACAAACCATTGATAGCTATGTCCAGCCGTCCAGCTCTGATAGTTGAGATGCTTTCTTGGTGCCTAAGATCTATGAACATCATGAGATTTGCAGGGGGGTCTTCCTACCAAACATAGGTGAAATAACTGAAGCATTGAACACTACTTCGATATTCATTTCAGAAGTCAGAGCTGGAGTATAGTTCAGAATCAACATGGTTTCACCAGTTCTGCAGTGAAGCCATAGTGAAGCCAGTGGGGAATCTCAGTGAAGTAACTCGGCACCTTTCGGCACTCATGGTTTACCAAATCGGATCAGCTATCACTCCATCGGGAAATTGGTGCTGAACTCCCAAAATCCAGCAGTCTTTCCATGGCAAAACCCAGCAATTTTCAGGGCGTCTTGAGCCTCACAAATATCGGGGCCTCAGGCCGCCAGGCCTCTGTTTCCCGAGATCATACGATCATACTCTAACCTCTACATTGCTGGTAACCTTGAAGAAGTTGGTCTTTTATGAAATATCGGGATGGGTCAAAACCTACTGTACCAGGGATGTGAACATCATTTACCTGCTTTCATTAGGCTTCACCAGCATGCTGTTGACCGCCATATATGCTTCCTGCTTGTGGATGGGCGAACAAAAAACTCTTCCTGGGTGGTTAGGAACCTCTAAAATTGTGCGCCAGTAAGTTGAGTGAAAACAATGAAATTGCCAGCCAGAATGGGTGTATAATCATGGCCAGTCTTTGACACCAGCCGAAAAAAAAACATGCTTAGCTGGGTATGAAGGTCATCTCCAGCAAATTGGCTACGGCTACGCATGGCAGAATGACATGATTTTCAGTAGAACCAAAGAAAGGTGACAGAAAATGTATACCCAGCTACCGCCATGTCTAACCCCCGGATTGTGGCCAAGATACGATACAGTACAGTATTGATTGAACCACAGTATTATTGCTTACCAATGTTTGAACATGCCATGGGCAATGATTCAAAGAAGACTCTCTTTCCAGTGGTTTTAGAGCCATTGATTGGCAAGGTTTTGATCCAAAACCCATTTATCTAAAGATCTTAGTGTGGGCCGAGCCAACGCGCAAGCTTTGTTCAACTTTGTTCATGTTTGAGTGGTAAAGATATGTATGTTCATACATGTTTCATTTCTCTGTGTACTCAATTTCATATCCACGCTCGACTCAGACCACTATGTATCGCCTGAAAACTCAAGCTCACCAAAGATCCTGTAGTTTGCTTTACAAAAAAGAAGTAATGACAACTGCTGGCACATTTGTTCCCCACACGAAGCAACATCATCAAATGCATATCGCTACCCAACCCTCACGGCACCTATCGTGGGAGACAACCACTACAGCGCCCTCGTATTCTCGCAAGGCAAACTCCAAAGTTTCCTGCTGTGAGAAACTTGGAGTCGGAAAGTGCTGTGACCTTGTCCTAGGTTGGGCTTAAATTACCCTTAAACATATATATATATATAATATAATTATGTAATTTATATAAATCCCTTGGTTAATCATGTCCCCTTGGAAAGACTGGGAATTTTGTTTTTTTTTTTTTTCGCCTATTCTCAGACAAACCCATCTCATAATCTTAACCAGTGGGGATGGGCCCCACAAGATTGACCATCTTTGATACCAAAACGTTTGAAAATTCTGGGTGACAATATCAACAAATTATCTGCACAATTAGCATTGTTAAACCATATTAAATTTTGGGGAGTGAATGTGATTGATAAGTTTGGCTTTTTTTCTATCCCATAACCACATGATCATATGGACTGCACATCTCCCAAGCCGCGAAAACCACCATTCTGACCATTCTGAATCTCATCACTGGGAATCAACATGGGAAATCTCATCAGTGCATTTTTGTGAGGATGGCTAAACCACGCAGAAATGTTCCAGGGCTGATGCTTGCAGCATCTCCATTTGCAGGGTGGTTTCACCCCAAAATATTCATGGTCAATGGTGAATCTTAGATACCTGCCAACAAAAACTCATCTGTAGCTGGTTGGTACGTTTGATCATTGATAGCAACAGATTAAAGTACTAAATCTTTAACCAAGGTTGACCTAGTATTGGTTGAATTCCACTTGAACCACCTATTATACTTTCATGGTTTCCCTACGTTCTCGAACTTCCCCGCACGCCTTCATGGGCACATCCAGGTGATTCGTTGGCTCATCGAAAATCAGCATGCGCGAAGGAATGAGCATCATCCTGACCTGTAGCCGGATCCAAAAGGCGGTTTCAAAGAGACCCGTAGCTTACATGTACCCTCTGGTTTTATAATATAGCCTATAGCCGAAGCCATGGCCCATTTAGTTCGAGGATGTCCCGTCCTCAAATATTGTAATGTTCCAAAGCTATGTTAAATCACCAGAAAGGTGTGCAGTATGAAATGTTGAATTTGAACCAGTACTATGCGAGATAAATCTAGATACCAACCCCATCCACCCCCAAAGAATCGACGAACTATACCCAACTACGATGGATGGAAGAAATCCTGCACCAGTTGATAGATGGTTTATTATCCCATTATTTATAAAGGGTTTCAACCATCCAAGGTGGTGCAGGATTTCTTCCATCCACAGTATCAAATGAATCATCAAACCAACAGCAAATCAATTAACATCAATGAACCACCATCTTTTCTGGGCACTTCTGTTCCTATACCAACATGCTTGCAATCCTTTAGCATAAATATTACAACATCAATACCCTTTAACATAAAATCTATTCCTGGAGGTTTTATTGGGAAATTCATCTATACTATAAATATATGTTTTAAGTTTTAATGAGAAGTTCATCTAGGGAATTTCCATTGTCTATGTTTACGGGAGGGTAACACCTAAGGCCCAACAGCTGGGGGCACGACAATTGCCAGTCTCGCTTTTTCGCCACCCGACAAGTTGCTGATCTTCACGTGCATTCCTGGACAGCTGTTTTTTGATGACAAAAGGTGTGGTGCGAGAGGGACCTACAATTTCTCTGGCAGTACAGTGCCCGCCATCGATGCTGAACCAGATCGGAGAACAGATTTTGCCAAGTTTACGCTCCATGTATGGTATATTTACCTACATTTGGGTGATTTTGTTCTGGTAAATGTTGGTGTGCATATTCCAGCACCATGGAGCATCTGGGGGATGTTCCGCCGTGATGTTCCGTCGACTTCATAGCTGTGCGGCTCCCAGATGATGAGTTGCTTGGTCGGATCCATCTCGTCATCGGCTGAGCCGCCGCAAAGGATGAAGCGTCCGAAAGAAAGCGGATGCTGCTTTCGCCTCAACGTGAGAACAGACCTGGAAAAGCCGATTTATCATCCAAATGGGGATCAAAATTAAAGACCTGAGGGACCTAAGTCACTTTAGTCATTTTATGTTACAATGTTTAGTATTAACCATCCAATACTGCACTTGAAGTACAATTTCGACCTATACCCCATAGGATCCATGTATGGTATATATGGTAACATTTACCATCAATATGCCCCCAATGTTACTATATATACCATACATGGATCCTATGGGTGCCCAAACATATAATGACCATCCATGACAATCCAAATGGTGCAGTAGTGACGGCGAACCCTTTTTTTTGGCTCTCTGAATCCAGTCCGACATTCGACAAAACACGATGTCTGGATCAGTTTCATAATCATGAAACGGGGACAAAACACACACCTGTTGGGGATGACGATGACGGCACTGCCAGACGATAATTTACATTGTTTCCAAACGATTTATGAACCAATTATGATTTACAGTATCCAATATCCAAACGATGGCACTGCCATGAAACTTCAGAACAGGAAAATACAGGAAATACCTTTCATTTGTTTGTTTCATGTTACGGTTCATCACTCAGTCAAATAAGTCTATTATATATGTATTTATGTATATACTGATTCTATGTGTGTATATATATATAATACGTATATATATATATCCCAAATCCTTCATGGTAATCAATAACCCCCTGTAGAACAACCTCAAACCTTTGTAGAATACCCAAGGCCACACTTAGTTACATAGCAAACACATGATTTACATAGGTGTGTATGAACTTGTCCTTCGTGCTTGAAAACGCTAGTAAGGCCGGGCAAAAACTACTCATTTCCTTTTAAATTCAGTACATGTCCCAAGTGCCATAGGCTGTTTGATCATGTTTGATGGGTTTGCTAGTAATGAGAATGCGGACAAGATCTACAATGTGGCGCCCCCGGAGTTACAACTTGGTTATAAACCCTACTAACTATAGATACTACATCTACCATATACCATATCAACTGCAGCTCTATTAGTTACAAAACCAACTCACCCTCTTGTAATTTAACATAGCTATTGAAAATGGCCCATAGAGATAGTTGGTTTGCCTACTATAGATGGTGATTTTCCATAGCTATGTTACATAACAACATCTGGTCGGTGGTATACCTACCCCTCTGAAACATATGAGTTCGTCAAATGGGAGTATTATTCCCAAAATCTATGGAAAGTCATATACTTCCATGGTTCCAAACCACCAACCAGCCATTATTACTATATAAATCACCATTTTCCCATGGTTTTCCCATGGTTTTCCCATGTTCCAAACCACCAACCAGACATGGTAGTTACAAACCAACTGGGCATCCTAACGATCACCGCGGAAGCGGAACTTCTTCATGATCTCCTGGCGCGAAAAAAAAAGTGGCAGCCATGATATATATATATATTACAAATTAGTGCTGATC